AGGCTGCAGGTGGTATTTCTGGACGAAGTGCAGGTGGTGGTCGGTTCAAGAGCTTCTTCAAGTGGCCAGCCCATTGTTTCCTTTGTTTCTCTTCTTTCGTAATTAAATTTTCGTCATCATCTTTTATTGGTTTTGTCTGCGTTGATCTCTTCCTAGATAGCAACCTGGTTATTTGATACAATGTCGTCAGGTCTCTCTTACCTGCAGCAGCCTGTTCTGCTTCACTTGCCAGTGTTTCGTAGAAGTGTCTCTTGTCTTTGCGTGCATTCTTCTCCACTTCTTTGTCCAGTATTTTATGCATTGTGCTCAGTTCCTCTTGTCGTTGAGCGTCCTTGCACTGGTTTATCTTCTGCTTCACCATCCTCCTCTCCCTACTCTATCAGCTTCCAGGTATCCGTCGAGATCCATTCCTTATCTTCTTTCTTCTTCCTTCCTAATACTGTTGTGCAGGTTTCTTTCCACCTATCTTTCAAAGACTTCCAGTGTTCTTCCACACAGGTTTCTTCACAGATGTTCCTCATTTTGTTCTCCCATTTTGTCTTGATGGCTGACTGTCGTGAAGATCTCCTTTGTAGTTTCATCCTTCAGTTTCCGAGTGTTGTACTTGAATTGAGGTCTATCACCAGTTTCCTTGAAGGCTTTTAACTTGATTTGGAAGGCAGGTTCCTTGCACTAGATAGTGGTCTGAACCTACATCTGCTCCTCTTCTTGACCTTGTGTTAAGTAGACTGCGTCTCCATTTTCTTGAGATTGAGATAAAGTCGACTTGATTTTTAGTGTGAAATATAGGCAACAGTAAAACAAAGATTTACTCAATAGAGATCAAATTTTTACATATAAAAGCATAAAAGTGTTTGTATGTCGATAATTGGTTTAAAGGAGGGTGTGGATCATATTTTTATCAATCGCTTACCTCAACAATTAAGCTTATAGATAGAATTTACCCAAAAAGGTATAGAAAAGAAATCCGAAGAGAATAAAAAAAAAAGATAAGAATATTGTAGCCATCATTTACTTCAATGAAATTTTAAACCCTTCACAATGTATTTTGAAATGGATAAAGCTGAAACCGGAATTTTTAATAGATACCTGAAAATTATGATTGTTATGGCACATAGGCTTTGAGTAAAATGAAGAGTGAGCGCAACTTAAAACTAGATTGAGAAAAAGTCTACGCAACGACAGTGAACAGTGATGGGCAACGAAAGCTAAAGAGATGGGAAAGGCGGCAGTGATAGCTAACAGTTGACAGTTATTTAGACTTATTAAGGAAACTGGGTAGAATAGGTCAACAACAGTTAGTGAGAATTTAACGGAGAAGGACGGGTCTGTGATTCACTCGCAGGGGGACGACTGGAACGATGCGCAGAGCACTTCGAAGAGTAGTTTCACTGGCCTCCAGCCACCATTACGTTGCCCGCTATCCAGTCAGATCCTGAGTGGAACTTTGAGATGGGCGCCCCAACATTTGCAGAAATCGAGAAAGCTGTAGGTAACTTGAAACGGAGAAGGCTGGAAGGACCAGACGGATTAACTCCTGAGGTGTACGAGGATGGTGGTAAGATGTTCTTAGTCAGGTTAATGGAAGTGTTAACTAGGATATAGGAATCAAATACGATCCCCTCTGACTGGTCTAAATCACTGATTATTCCAGTCTTCAAGAAAGGCGACAAGTCCTCTTGTAATTGCCACAGAGGAACATAGTATCTGAAATCCGAGGTTCTATAGTTCTTCGACGCCTGAGTGGAGCTCTGAAAGAGCAAGCCCGAGAAAACCAGGCAGGCTTTAGACCCAGCTGCGGGTGTATCGACCAGATACTCACTCTATGTAAGGTTCTGGGACACAGGCACGCTTACCAACGCCTGAAAAAAGCTGTACTTCTCGACTTAAAGGTGGCATTCGATTCAGTTGGTCGAGAAGTCTTACGGCAATGTCCCCCAGCTGAAAGGTGTACCGAGTAAGTACATCACCTTAATGAAGGTTCTCTACTCGAACATTTCTGGGCGTTTTATAGCCTGTGGTGAGATATTCAAGGAGCTATGCTCATCGAGTGGTGTCCGTCAAGGGTGCTCACTCTCTTCATTTTTATTCAAATTTATCATGGATATTCTCATCGAGGTCTCCCTCTCGTCACCTGATTACACAGAGGTTGACCAGTTCACAGAAAAGTTTTAGTTAGACCTAGTGTACACAGATGATATAGACCTGTTAGGTGAAGATTCTGACAAGATGCAGAGTATTCGAAACAGTTTGAGTATCAATTTCAGAATCTTTTGGATGCATTTCTCATCACCTAAATACAAATTGTTGCTCCATGATTGGTCTTCAGCAGTCCCTCGGCTAACTATAGAGAGTGAGTGTGGTGATTGAGTGTGTCAACCACTTCACTTACCTGTGAAGTGGGATCAACCGTGGTGCGATGGTCAGTGGTCGATGAAATCTCTGTACGATTGCAAAAGGCTCGGTTGACTGAGTTTTGCCAACTTACACCACCTGTGGCGCCTGCGTGATATCAGATTGTGTAATGAGAGTCATGTGTAGTGCACAGCAATCCACTCTGTCCTACTGTGTGGATGTGGAACATGGTCATTGAAGGTGGAAGACATGAGAAGGCTGTCTTCAAGTGTTTGAGCATCGTTGCCTTCATAGTTTAGGTTGTATTCGTTGGTGCCACCAGGTGAGTAACGCAGACGTGAAGCGTAGAGTTTCGGGGATGGAGTAGAAGTAAGTCAGTAGATATGGGATTGTGGTCGTTGATGGACTGAGATGGTTGGGAGATGTGTTACGTATGCGTGTTGGCCGTCTGCCTCATCACACAATGTTGACTGAAGTAGGTTTAGACTGAAAAAGGACTGGAGGTGGTCAGACTAAGACATGGGATCAATGTGTGTAGTGTTTTACTGTTGGTTTGAGCCATATGTGGAGATAGAGATCAGCCGATTGGGGTTAGTGGGACAGGAGGAAGCAGTGGTTGTAGATTGACTGTATGTGATATGGGTCAGAGTGTATGTCAGTGACGCAGGTGTGTATGCACACATTATCCTCATATTATCGACGCTATACTGAATCTCACCAATTTCTCATTCCTTCTTTCTCTCATTTTGTACTTAATACTTGTTTTGAGTGAATTTTGTTGTTTTCATCTTCCAATTGACTGTCTTTTTACTTGATGTATTGATGTGAGGTGTGAGGACTCTGAGGGTTGCGCTGTAATGCCTAGTCCTATGCTGACTTGGATGATGATGATATGATATACAAGTTTACTTGTAGAGGGATTGTATGTAAGAAAAAAGGGAGAAATGTGGCGGATGATAAAGAGAGTAAATTTGGAAGGTGTTGTGCTTTGTTTAGTTCGTCAATTCATATGCTTTGTTGGTTTGTCTTGTCTTCATGTTTCTAATAAACCTTAGACCGAACTTGGACTGTGCCAGGGTTTGACTGTTGGCCAATCTATCTGTCAACTAGGTTATTTGACCTAATCCGATGGTTAACCTCAGCATTAGCTGTAATTAAAGGCTACACGACTTCTTGTTCAATTTCGTAATGATCTTATCAGTTCAAAGAAGCGTTATAAGAAGGTAGGGAAATCATTGAATGCTCAGTGGGATGGAGCTGTTAAGTCAGCAAGTCAACAGACTGCAAGTTCGACCCTCGTTACGGAGAATCAAGATTATCCTTTCAACTTCAGTCAGCATACTTCTCATAATTGTAATGTTGAAAAGTTATTTTATTTCTTTTATACACAAAAGCATCATCTCATCCTTAGTTTAGTTAAATTTGATATTGAACTCAGAACCTCCATGTTTCGTGGTGAACACGTTGACCATTTAGCGACTAGGTTGGATTGAGTTCGATGCTATTACAGTTTCCAACTTGTGTCAATTCATGATATGACACGACTTCGGTTGGCATCCGATTCCTTTCCAACTGGTTGACCCCACAGATCATAGCTTTTCATTGAGACTTCGTGAAGGTCGTGAGTTCGATCCTTGATGGGGTTGTGGATGCGTACTGCTAAGGAGTCGCGTACCAGGACGAAACAGCTGCTTAGTGCTCACAGTGTTTCAATGGTCCCTCAAATGATGTCAGTCAGTGGTGAATACTACTTCTAAATTTTATATATTTTGTCAGTTATCGACTGTTAACTGTCGTCTTGATGAAGAGAGTTGAATAAGGCAATCGCTATGCCTAGTCACCGATTGCCTCGTCACACAATGTTGGCTGAGGTGGGTCCAGGCTGGAAAAAGGCCCGAGGTGGCCAGACTAAAACATGGCACCAATGTATGATGTCTCTGACTGTTGGTTTAAGCCATGTGTGGCGATGCAGACTAGGTGGTTGGGGTCGGTGGGACAAGAGGAACCAGTGGTTGGAGACTGACTGTAGGTGATATGGCTCAGAGTGGCGTGGATGTATACACACATTATCCTCATCTTAACAACGCTATACCGAATCTCACCATTTTGTCACTCCTCTTTCCTTTCTTCTTGTACTTTATATTTCTTTTGACTGCATTCACTTATCTTCATCCTTCACCTCACTACCTTTTTACTTGATGTGCTGATATGAGGTGTGGCAACTCGGACCGTTACTCAGTAATGCCTGGTCCTATGTTGATAATGATGATGATGATTATATTATTTATATTACTATTTGTCCCTTTGGGTTCCTAATGGAACATAGGGCTTCATTCGCACATCTCCAGTGCACTCTGTTCTCTGCAATCTTTTGAACCTCGCTCCAGAAGCTCTCATTTCTTCGTGACACGATCTCCTTCATGTCACCCTCAGATGCCCAACTCGTCGTTTCCTCTTTGGGTTCCACTCGAAGGCCTAGCGAGTTAACTATTAAGAAAATATATTTGTAAGATTTCAATCAGGTTTAAAAATGTCTTGAGGAAGATACTTTTTCACTACAAGTTATCGTATGTTTACTCAAAATGTTAAATATTTGATTGCTAAACATTAAAATAAATTTATTATAATTCTCTTTATTTCCATAGACTGTTATACGAAAAATTTTGGTTCTAAAGGGTTGAAAGCAGGTACTAATCTACGCTGCTGTTAATATTTTATACAGATGAAAAAGAAATCACATTAAAACCACCTAAACTTCGCATATATATATATATATACATCTCATACTATCTATTTAATATTTGGTTCAATGGTTTCATGGGTGTAATTCAATGATCAATGGAATTTTGTTCAATCCTAATGTCTAAATTTTCATCTACATATTAGAAAAAAAACATTTTCAATTATTATGCTTGACTTTTTTTCGTCTACTTTTTAATACTTCATTATGATAAAATGATGTTACAAGCTACTAATGTGGATATATTCTGTTTGTAGCGATCATTGAAACATTGAACATATATTGCGCCTAATTTGAACAATGGGAAATTAGAATGCAATTTTTTAAACTCTTTACATAGACAAACAGTCTTTATCGCTTTTCTATCAGTTCGCTTGTACGTTCACAGTGATACTTTTTAGTCATTTTAATAGAAGAATATTTCATGTGTTTGTTTTTGTAGATTGAACGTTTTTTTTTCCCATCGCTTATATCTATGTAATGTTCTGTTATAGTCATTCCATTAAGTGAAATTTGTAATTTTTCCTATTCTGTGTTCAACTTGATCACTAAAGAAAATTATCAGGGAGGTTATCTCGAATGATTGAGAATAAAATTATATCTTATTGGGAGAAAAATTTTATTGGACTTTTGATCGATATTTATTATTATAATTTGTCCCTTGGGTTCCTAATAGAACATGAGGCTTCAGTAGCATGTCTCCATTCCACCCTCTTCTCTGAAATCTTTTCAACATGACACCACGACTGCCCACAAGCTCTCATTTCCTCTATGTCACCCTCACCTCGGACGCCCAACTCGTCGCTTCCCATCTCGGTTCCACTCCAGTCCCTGACCTGACACCTGATCTCCCCAGTCGGCATTCTCAGTGTATGCCCAATCCAATCCATCTCCACTTTATTCCACTACATATTTGTTCAGCGATAGATTCTTGCTTTGTTGGTTCGTTGCCAGTCAGTCAGCCAGCCAGACAGAGTTCCTTGTTGATTATTCTTATTATTCTGGCCATCTGATCTTCAGTAACGAGCCAGTGTAGGTGGTAGTTGTTCATGAATGTCTGTAGTTTGTTGGAAATGCGTTTCGTAACCCGTCAAGTTTCTGAAGCATCACTTAGCAGCACTGACTTGACTTGACGTTTGTGTTGAAAATCCGAATGTTGTTTCACATGCTGAGTGCAGTGCAGATCTCCACACTGGTGTCAGGCTAATGAAAGATTGTCTTGCTTTTCCGATTCTGGCTGGATTTGACATCCTGGTCTGTGCCGCCTGTAGTTGAGACAGTGCTGCCTAGATAAGTGAAGGAGGTTACTTCCTTTAAGTTTCTCCTATTGATGATGATTGGAGCTTGCTGTTGTTGTTGGTGGTGTTGGTGCGGTATCTTCATCACCTCTGTCTTCTCTACATTCACTTGAAGTCCCATCTTCCTTCGCTACCATGACTTGTCTCTTCTTTCAACTTGTTAGTTTTTGCTTGTAGATCTTCAAGTTTGTGTGACACCAGACACAATTCATCGATGAAACCGAGATCTCCTAGGTTCTTTTCCGCAGTCCATGTCCCCACGTTTACTTTCGTTTTCATCGAGGGAGAGAAGACACATCGGCCAATTGGCTTCCTGAAGGCTTTCAGCAACCGGCGTTATTTCGTCTCTCCGATTCCAGCGAGGAATGATTTTTTTTATATTTTGTTTGTGCTTTGAAGTTTCTTTAGCGGTTAGATTTGTTTTCCTGGATAGGGTTGCTATCCCCATGCCCAACCTTCCCTCGTTACCCGGGCTTAGGACCAGCTAGTGAACTAGTTAACCAGGCGAGGATTTTGATCAATATACTCTTGTCAATTTCTAGAATAATCCTTGTCATTAAAGATTTGGGAGTGGAAGGAGATTACCTCAAATAGTTTAATATATGGTATAAAAGTTTATTACAATAAGTAAGAATTAGCCTCTCATAGTAATCAAGACTGTTATGGGATAAGTTGAACGTGAAAAAGGCCATGCACTACATTACTCTGCCTACCTGAAATCTGATTGGGCGGTTGAGCTGAATGTTCGAGTGATTGGTTGAGTTTTGTTGTGCACAGTGGAATTACTGTCTTCTCATTGCTTGACTGTTTCTTTTAAATTTTTCTGATTATCTGTCCACCTAATTGATCAGCAGATCGTCTACCAGATGTCTAGAAGATCCTGTTGATGAAGAAAAGCTTGAAGAAGATGACTTTCTAAATAAAGGTTGTACTCATCACAGATGGCGAGTCATTAAAAACCTAGGAGCATTAAATAGCTATGGGATCGTAGTATGAGACTCCTCAGCCACCCCCCTGCCGCTCGGTAGTCGAACTCAGAACCTTCAGGGTTTTTTTGGCTAACGTTTTAACCATTCGAGAACAACCTGAACTATTACTCATCATTCATACAATGGTAAAATATTGTTGAATAACACAGCAAAGTTTAAGCTTTGAAGATTATGACGGTATACTTCGTCGACTTATTTATCACAATAACTGACCACTGATCAAATCTTTCGAAAACGTATCTCTATGGAGAGATTCATGAAGTGTATAGATAACTTTTACAGAAAACTTCATAGAGATATGATATCCCATTAAAGAACTGAATCCCGTACGAATTGCGAATAGAAACTTCAACATCTTCCAGCCGGCTTTGAAATGTCACTTTACCATGTCAACTTCCTTTCCATAAAGAAAGTTACTTTATACAAAATATCAATCATTGAATAAGTGAACTACAATAATCTTTACAGCCGTTGATGTACTGAAGTCATGGGGTTTACATCTCAATGTACTATAATAGAAAGTAATTCGATATCAGAAAAGTTTCTTTGATATATAACAAACAATGATACAGTATTACTATTTACTTGGTCACAATTACAGCATAAATTACCATTACTTACATAATCATATCAATATGTAATCATACTCGCATCGAGATTTGATCCTTATAGTCTTGTCAGCTGATATTCCTTGTTACTATTGATAGTAAACTTTTCTATATCTCTAGTATAAAAAGATGTTGCGTCATTCCTATTACATGTGTTGACTAGGTGTTGATTCGATCAACAAAGATTCAGTAATCAGTTTCTCCCTCTTTCTTCACCTGATTATATTGGACTTAGTTACAGTCGTTTTATTCCCCCCCCGTGCCATCGCATTGTGAGGTTGTATGTACTTGTGCATGCGCTACAATAGCCAACATTCTTTCTAGATTATTGATCTTATTAGGGTCTTCCATTTTACATTTGACTAAATTCACTAAATTCACCTATTCTAACTGACCCTGACCAGGCAGTTTCACTTATGTACTTGACCTGATGGATTAGATTATTTTGCTGAATTGATTCTAGCGAACCCTTATGCTAGCCGACAAAGTTGATCTACGAGTGAACTTGTAGGTTGAAATCCCATCCTAATTCATGGCTTGTTGAAGAATCTACACAAGGTTTCTGATGTACCTTCTTTATAAGGTAATACAATGGAGGCTGTGAACTCCTTTCTACTTGTGTTGTCGTTATTACTTCGTTTCTTCTGCCTTTGTACAGATTTCTTAATAAACTGTAGAGAATAATTATTAACCCTAAGCGCGTCTTTCACGTGCTTCAGTTCCTTGTTTAGGTCCTTGCGCTGCCTAGTCGTTTTTTCTGGCTCTAACATTTAGACATTTGACTAAACCTGCCTTCACTGATTGACATCGGATGAGATGACATGAAGTGTAGATACTTGTTGGAATGTGTCGGTTTCCTGTAGAAGATAGTATCTAAATCATAATCTGTGAACAGAGGGATTGCTTACTGAATCTTCGTTCATCGAATCAACACCTAGCCAACACGTTTAATAGAAATGACACAACACCTTTCTATAACCAAGATATTCTTTGTTTCTATTGGTAGCGGAATTTTCCATATCTCTGGGATAGAAAGATGATGCATCATTCCTGTCACATGTGTTGATTGAGTGTGGATTCGATGTAAAACGATTCTGTAAACCATCCATCTCACTTTCTGTCTAATTCTGTTGGAATAGAGTACAGTAGTCTTATCCCACAGATCCTATTGTGTGGATATGTTAATGCATGCAATGCAGTAGGTGTTTCTTCTAGATTACTTATCTTTATGGGGTCTCTCATTCTACATTTAGCTAAATTTCTTTGTTTGGTTATTCTAACTGACCCCGACCAGCTAGTTTCACCCCTATTTACTTCACCTGACTCACAGTCATTACATGGAATTTCATAGATTAGATTATTTTACTGAATTCGATCTATCCGATCCTTAAACCGACAAATCGTGTCAGTTTGTAGACTTAAATGTCACCAGCCTCGTTGAGAATCCTACATACAGTTTTCCATGTCCCATTCTTATATACTAACACAATGGAGTCTGTGAACTCTTTTCTACTCATCTTGTCCTCATTATTCGTACTCATGTTACTGTTATCTTTTCATTTCTTCAGTGTGTTCGTATGAATTCCTAATGAACTGCAGAGGATAATAAAAGAAGCGTGAATAAACCTCTAAACAATAACGACAACACGAGTAGAAAGGAGTTCACAGCCTCCATTGTATTACCCTATAGGAGAGGAACATCAAAATCTTTACGTACGATCCTCAACCAGGCTGGAATTAGTTGAGGTGGTAGGTAAGCCTACAAACTTACTCAGAGATAAGTTTTGTCGGATCCGATAGAACCAATTCAGCATAATTATCTAACCTATCAAATTCCATGTAATCACTGTGAGTCAGGTCAAGTATATAGGTGAAACTAGGTGGACGTGGGTCAGTCAGATCAGTGGAACATAGGAATTTAGCTAGATGTAGAACGATAGACCGAAATAAGATCAATAATCTGAGAAAACACTTGGATATTGCACTGCATGCACACGTGAACACAATAGGGTAGATGGGATGAACCCACTGTAATTAAGTCCAATGTAATTAGGTGAGAGATTGATTACTGAATCTTTGTTCATCGAATCAACAGCCACCCAACACACATGTAGTAGAAATGACGCAACACCCTTGTATACTAGAAATATGGGAAATTTTACTTCACTTCCTTGTTTATGTAGTTGCACTGACTAACCAGTTTTCTACCTCTAACATTCAGATATTTGACTAAACCTGCCTTCACTGACTGACTGATTGGAAGAGATGACGTGAGGTGTAGATACCTGTTAGAATGTGTCGGTTTCCTATAGACAGTAGTGTCCGAACCATCGTCTATCCTTCGTTACATCCTCCAACCCATCATAGGTACTTCAACACCCAACACATGTAACAGGAATGATGCAACACACTTGTATACCAGAGATATGCAAAATTTTGTTTCGCATTGGTCTGCTAGCTAATCTGTTTCATTGTCTAAGCAAAAATGATGTGCCAACACTTTCTTCTTCTTCATCAAATCCTAAAGTATTGAAACTTCGCTTAGTATTGAATAGAAGTGGAATGTGTCAAATTTCCTGAATCAAATAATCATTAACTCCTATGGTAATCGTCCAGATAATGATTATCTAGGTAAGGTGGTTTAGTGGGGTGGGGTGGGGTGGGGTGGGTTGGGTGAATGTGGACTGAGCAGACGTTCGCTCTTTTCAGAGCTTCTGATA